AAAAAAATAGATGAATAACAGTGCCTTATTATCCTCAAACACATTGGGGTTATTCATATCATGTTATTACAGCAAGATTAAAAGTTTGAATAGCAGCTTTAATGGGATATTTTTGTTGTGTTTTCTTTTTAATTTATTTTTCAAACACTGGCATTTTCAGCTCCCATCCACCTGAAGCTCTTCACATTTTCTGTATTTCCACATAAGCAGTTGCATTGGTTTTTATGTCTTTAAACATTATGTTATATTATTTTATGCACTGTCATCATTATTCAAATATTGGGATTTCATTATGTGAATTTGAACTCTCATGGTCCTGAAACTGTAATCTTATTGCAGGGGTGGATTGAGGCCGTCTTCTGGGTCTTTCAGATTTTAAAGTTCACATTGATGGGTATCTGTTTTTTCTATTGGAAGACCATCAAAAATGAAGGATGGATCAACAAAGATAATTTGGAATACTGTCAGAAAATATCTCTGGAATCCGCTCCTGTTATTGACGATGTCACCTGTTGTGCATGATTAAAATTCAGTGTTGATTGACAGTGCTATTATAGGCATGATTTATTGCATCAAAATTGACAAAATGAACCATTTTCTGCATTTTTATTTTTTGTTTTTGTCTGTACATTTGTCAGCTTTGCTGCCTTGTTTCTATTTGCCTTGAACCTTGATGTAAACCATATCAACTCAGTCTTACTATCATTTAAAGCCAACATGTTCACTTTCATCCATTCTCGAATCTCTGCAAGACAAGACTCCATAGAAGTGATTGTTGCAGACTTGCTGCTCTTGTATGTAATATATACTTGTGTGTCATCTGGAAAAATAACAGTGTTCAGACCATGCTTTAGTATGATATCTTCTACAGGTAACATGTATAATAAGAATAGGATCGGACCTAACACAGACCCTTGTGGGACACCATACTCCAAGTTAACTGGCTGAGATAAAACCAACTCTATTGAAACCCTTTGTGTTCTGTTTTTCAGGTAAGAGGTAAACCAACTAAGTGCAAGTCCATTCACTCTAAAACGATGCTGCAACCTGTGAAGAAGAATATTATGATCTATGGTATCGAAAGCCGCTGAAAGGTCTAGAAGAACTAAAATGACATCTCTTTGTTTATCCAGGGCAAGCATTATGTCTGAAAGGTCTAGAAGAACTAAAATGACATCTCTTTGTTTATCCAGGGCAAGCATTATGTCGTTGTGGACTCGAAGTAGAGCTGTCTCAGTGCTGTGGCCTTCTCTATAGGCAGACTGGAATTTCCCAAAGAGTTAATTTTCAGATAGATAGCTGCTTAGTTGGGAACATGCCATTTTTTCAAGAAATTTACCTAAAAAAGGGTAGATTTGATATTGGTCTATAGTTTTTCAGGACATTTTTACACAGCCCTTGCTTTTT